CAGGCGCCCTTACGCTTAGAATCTTGGGTTGGAGAGTAGATAATCAGGATAGTAGGATGGTCGGGAAAGCCGTGTCTCGGACCGCATGAAGGTTGAGTGAGCAATGGTGAAACGCTTACGCAGAGAAGCCATAGAAGGCGAGCAGGAAGATGCTGCGAGGAGGGCAGACATGTACTTGGAAGAGGAGCCAAAGTTCAGTGCCGCTCAGAGCTGCTGCAGGATGGGCAGCACGATGGGGAGCCTGTGATCAGAAGAGTGAAGAATACAGGTATGGATGCCTTTGATTAGGATTAGCCGAGCCGTAGAGACGGGTGCAGCCTGGGAGCCCGCGGAGCGGCAGCGGCAGGAACAGCAGCAGCGGCACATGTAGTAGCAGGAGCAGCAGGAGCAGCAGGAGCAGGCAGCAGGAGCGGCAGCAGGAGCAGGCAGCAGGAGCGGCAGCAGGAACAGGCATCAGCGGGATCAGGCATCAGTAGGAACGGCAGCAGGGACCGCAGCAGCGGCGGTCAGAGAACCATGCCCATGGTTGTTTAAGAGCCTGAGGAAATAAATCAACCCGAATCCGAAACATTCCCATGCGAAAAACAGATGTCCCCTGGAGCCATCTTGCTGCTTTGGTTATGGCAGATACGCATGAACCATCACTTTTCCACGCGTTCATTAGCTCCAACACCACTTCAAACCCATTGCAGATTCACATTGGGCCCTTTTTCTTTCTGCTGCACTTTCAAATGCAACGACTGCAGTTTAGTTACCCAATTTAATACTAGTGACCTAGCTATTTAAATGCATGGCCCCTCCTTCCTCGCGCAGATAGACGAATTTAATGCTGTAAATATGGCGCCGTGGCAAGAGCTCTGGTGTGTGCCGTCTGGAGCACAATGGGGTAGTCTTGCAGATTTTTTTTTTTTTTTTTTTTCGACGTGGTTTTACTGCGAGTGGCAGAACATGAATCTGAATTAATGCGCATTGCGCCTCTTGTATCCCCAGACAATAGAGATTGATGCCATTTAATATGCATTGCCCCTCAGTTAGCTCAAACACGAGTGAAAACGGAGCCTGCAGACCAAGCACGGGGCGAAAAAACTGACGCCTGCAGTCCAGTGCGCGGGGCAAAAACCAATCGCCTGCAGCCCAAAACTCCGGGATTAATCCGTCCGCGGTCGGCACACTCACTGTACTCACATGCCAGGAGACTTGGGAAAAGCAACGGGACAATGCGGCACCGCCAATAGAGGCAGGCAGGCCTGTCGCAAGGGGGGTGCGAGGCCCTGTGCGAACTTGAAACGTGAGGCCCTGCCCTGACACCTTTTTCCCAGATCTCAGGAAAGTTTTTCATGTTATAATATTTGACATGAATTCAGCACCGCCTCGCGCTGTGCGTGAAGAGATCAGCACGCGCGCAGACGTGTGTCCTCGCTCCAATGCAGCGTCGCACTGGAGCGAGGACCCACGCACCCACACACAAACTGTTACCGCGCTTGGCATTGGTATATTGGTCGCGGTCTTTTTAGCTGACATGGCTCTTTCGTCCTGTGGCAAAATGGCAGCAACTCAAAAGATTGAACCAAAAGGAGTCTTCTTCTTTTTCTAATTGTTAGATTACGGCAAAATGCGCCAAAATGGCTATGAGGCGGAGTCAATATTTGTTATTTTTTTCCTCATCAAATAACGTTTTTGCCATGCCTCCACACTCACAACATACGCTCCTTCTCCTGCTCCTTCTCCTCCACACACTCTGACCACATTTTTATGCCCAAAATCCACTGCACTCACAGTAGCATGAACGTTGGACATACAGTGTTTGCTAATGCTTTTATAATATGTTTTTGATGTGGATATTCGGGCTCAACATTGACAATAACAGCGCTCACACACCTGTCTCGCAGCTCCTCCTCTTCCTCCTCTGGTCACACTCCTCTCTCCTCCTCCTCACACGGAAGACGCGAGTATCCATCTCTCCGTACACTGGGCTCATTCCCGTTACTTTCTTCACTCAGACACTGCTAAAGTTATCTGACAGCTCCGTAAAGTTTTTTTTTCGGAGGACCCGCTGCGTACATAGCTGCCCTCGCGCCTGCCTGTTTACAAATTGCTTTTGGTGAAAATTTGACTTCACTTGTAATAATGTACTTTTGAACAAAAGAAATCAGAGGTCCAGAGAAAGGGGATTAGGGGTCCGAATTTGGAGCGCAGTCCGCCCTTTGGGGACTCTTGAACTAGTATATTTATTTAATAAAAAAATAAAAAAAGGAAGGATTGCGAGGCCCTGTGTGGTGCGAGGCCCTGTGCGACGGCACAGGTCGCACAGCCCTTCCGACGGGCCTGGAGGCAGGGACACGCACGGCACCGCCAGACCTTCTGCGCGCGGCAGCAGACCACGAGGAACGAGCAGCACAGAAACCGCGGAGGGCCCCGCGGAGCAGCCCGCAGAAAGAGCCCGCAGTGGAGGAGAGCAGTGGAGATATGCGAACCACAGCAGGTGCAGGGACGCGGAGGAGGAGCAGACCACAAGCAGCCAGACTGAGGACGCCAGGGTCGCGCCGAGTAGCGTGAGTAGACGAAAACGATTCCTCCAGACGATTCTCTGCAAGGCTTCGAGGGCTTGCGAGGCTTCAGTGGCCGAGAGTGGGAGTTTCTCCGCTTTTATGCGGCTGGCGTAGTCGGTACAGATGATTGGAAGGGGGCGTCTGCTGAGCGATAGGCTGGGGATGACAGCCGGCCTGGAGGGGGTAATTTTGGTTAACGTCTACCAAATTGAATTTTCGCTGGCTGCATTACACCTCTGAAACTAAGCAGGGCAGGACCCGGTTAGTGCTGTGATGGGAGACCTCTCGAAAGGGGCCACAGTGGGGCGGCTGGGGCTTACTGAGTCTGGTGTGTGTGTGAATGGTTGGTGGTGGTGGGGGGGCGGATGGCACAGACTGGTTGCCTCGCTTCTGTTAGTGTGCCCCAGGGCAGTTGTGGCGACAGTTTGTGAAGCATATTTGAATGTCCAAAAAAGCAGTTTATAAAACTGATTTATTATTTAAGCAAAATTATGTTTTTATAATCACTTGGCTCTGTTTGTGACGTGATTGTGGCAAACCACCGGCATCTCTGGCCACGCCCCCGACCCAGAAATGGATTAAGGGATAGAAAATGGATGGAAAACAAAACTCCAAACTCCTCCCTCTAGTGGGAGCACAGGGAGCTTTTTTTGTCCTTGACACCTCTGTCACATATAAGTAATTGGTCTCATTATAATTTTTCTTGACAAAAAGTAATGCATAATAAGTATCAGCAAATAAGTTATAAATGCTGGTATTCCAACAATGTAAACTATAGTCAGACTAAAATCTTACATCCTGTATATAATATTAACAGAGCGTGCAATAGTGGGAGGTGGGAAAGCTAAATTTATCAGAAGCTGTACTTGAATAATTTAGAAGGAAAAAAGTGGCTGCATTTCTGAAAAGGAGGGTTTGTAAAGCCTCAGTACGCAACGTTAACCAAAAAAAAGAGATTTTAATGTTTATTTTTAGGCAAGGCCACTCAAAGTGCTTTACAAAACAAGATTAAAATCATAAATAATCACAGTACATTAAAAAGTACAATACCTAAGTTATAGCAGTTTAACAGAACTGTTTTTAACCTGGATTTGAACATTCTCAGAGAAGACTGTCTCACATTTTCAGGAAGATTTTAGCATGAATCTGAAATGCTGCCTCCTCCTGTTTAGTCCTGACTCTGAGTCCCAGCAGGAGTCCAGTCCCTGTGCTCCTCAGAGTCCCAGCAGGAGTCCAGTCCCTGTGCTCCTCAGAGTCCCAGCAGGAGGCCAGTCCCTGTGCTCCTCAGAGTCCCAGCAGGAGACCAGTCCCTGTGCTCCTCAGAGTCCCAGCAGGAGTCCAGTCCCTGTGCTCCTCAGAGTCCCAGCAGGAGTCCAGTCCCTGTGCTCCTCAGAGTCCCAGCAGGAGGCCAGTCCCTGTGCTCCTCAGAGTCCCAGCAGGAGTCCAGTCCCTGTGCTCCTCAGAGTCCCAGCAGGAGTCCAGTCCCTGTGCTCCTCAGAGTCCCAGCAGGAGTCCAGTCCCTGTGCTCCTCAGAGTCCCAGCAGGAGTCCAGTCCCTGTGCTCCTCAGAGTCCCAGCAGGAGGCCAGTCCCTGTGCTCCTCAGAGTCCCAGCAGGAGGCCAGTCCCTGTGCTCCTCAGAGTCCCAGCAGGAGGCCAGTCCCTGTGCTCCTCAGAGTCCCAGCAGGAGTCCAGTCCCTGTGCTCCTCAGAGTCCCAGCAGGAGGCCAGTCCCTGTGCTCCTCAGAGTCCCAGCAGGAGGCCAGTCCCTGTGCTCCTCAGAGTCCCAGCAGGAGTCCAGTCCCTGTGCTCCTCAGAGTCCCAGCAGGAGTCCAGTCCCTGTGCTCCTCAGAGTCCCAGCAGGAGGCCAGTCCCTGTGCTCCTCAGAGTCCCAGCAGGAGTCCAGTCCCTGTGCTCCTCAGTGCATCTGAACTAAAGCTGGGGTTGTTATGGAGTTTTCTTTTGAATCGGTTTGACTTTGTTTCCTGTTCTGTTGATCGTCTGCCTCGCCCTAAAGTTCATCTGTGTCTCAATCTCTGGGAATTTGGAAAGATCAATCAATCAATCAATCAATCAATTTATTTGAGCAGGTCATACAAAACAAAAAACAATCCAATAGGAAAACATTTCAAGAAAAAGACACAGCTCAAAGGGAGTAAGCCGAAGTAAAATACTTGTGTGAGCTTACCCCAATTACATTTTCATATCGTTTTTCAATTAATGGGAATGGGAAAAATCAATAATAATAATACTGATAATAATAATAGATATTTATGGGGGTGAAGTTGCGTACTCCTGCTTTAATTCACCATTGGTTATATTTACTGCACAATAGAAGGTTTACAATGGACTCACATCACTTTCAAGTTGATGGATTTGTGTTTAATTGAAAAGGGAACCCTCGCTGTCCTTAGACCACGGAGAGAATCCAGATTAAACATGATCCTTTTGTTCAATGAAAGTCCGTCAGTCTGGCCGTTTATTCAGACACTGAATCCTGTCAATTATTCAGACTCTAAGTCCACTGAGCGCTGACCCGGCTCATTCAGAACCACAGGCTGTAATAGAGAGGGACAGTGCTAACCTGCTAGCTCCATGAAGACCAATAGGGAAGTGCCCGTGGACAAAGCTCCGACTCGTTCTGGCTCTAGTCTCTACTCAGCACTTTTTATTCATACACAGCTGAATCAATGAGCTCAAGTTTTTCATTAAATTACGGATTATAATACAACTTGTTTGTAGTAATACACATTTTTATGAAATCATTAGATGAAAAAATCGGGTATAGCTTCTTTAAGGGGTAGAAAGTGGATGGATGAAAACAAACAAACAATTTTCACTCATTGTTAGTAGTTGTGTGGATCCATTTATTGTTATATGATTTGTGCTATAGCCTGATGGTCCATGTCCTCTGACCTCTGACCTGCAGGGATCCCGCTGGTCTGTTTCCTGGTGCTGCTGCCTCTGAACATCCCCTGGTCCCAAATTGGGGTGACGTGGCTGGGCGTGGTCCACTTCCTGGCCTGTCTGTCTCCTCAGCTGGGCTCCGTCCTCTACCACCTCTTCATGAACCACGAGGGCGGCGAGCCGGTCTACCACACCCTGCTCAAGGTGGACGTCTGCGGGATCTGCATGATCAACACGCTGGGTGAGAGCCGTGTGTGTGTCAAAGGTTTAAACATTCAGTGTAACAATTACAAAACTGAGTACACATTTCTCAGTATAATTCTAGATTCATTCAAACATATATTTGTTTTAAATACTATAATAATAAAATGATGTTTGTTGGGCTCAAAGTACTGAACACAACTATTTACAGCCTGGATTTGAACATTGTCAGAGCATTGTAGAAGCCTGTCTGACATTTTCACACATAATCTGAGGCAAACGCTGCGGTGCAAGGGTGCTGCATTTAATTTCATATCAAATCAATTGTATTTGTATCTCCTAAAACACACGCAGAACCCGCAGACTGGGGCTAGTCCAGAGAGTCCAGAGAGTCCAGAGAGTCCAGAGAGTCCAGAGAGTCCAGAGAGTCCAGAGAGTCCAGAGAGTCCAGAGAGTCCAGAGAGTCCAGAGAGTCCAGAGAGTCCAGAGAGTCCAGAGTGTCCAGAGTGTCCAGAGTGTCCAGAGTGTCCCATCAGTGCTATACAACAATACATTTAATTGAATGCGCACAACTAATGTCAATACAAACTTGAGGACTGTTGATAGTGACAGCTCCAATCTCCCTCTGGATCTAATAGATCCTTGTTCTCCCCCAAGACCACTTATAGCACCACTGCTGTCTGTGCTTTTACTGTGTCTGTGGTTAAAGTCAGTTGTTTTACTGTCTGTGGTTAAAGTCAGTTGTCTTACTGTCTGTGGTTAAAGTCAGTTGTCTTACTGTCTGTGGTTAAAGTCAGTTGTCTTACTGTCTGTGGTTAAAGTCAGTTGTCTTACTGTCTGTGGTTAAAGTCAGTTGTCTTACTGTCTGTGGTTAAAGTCAGTTGTTTTACTGTCTGTGGTTAAAGTCAGTTGTCTTACTGTCTGTGGTTAAAGTCAGTTGTTTTACTGTCTGTGGTTAAAGTCAGTTGTCTTACTGTCTGTGGTTAAAGTCAGTTGTTTTACTGTCTGTGGTTAAAGTCAGTTGTCTTACTGTCTGTGGTTAAAGTCAGTTGTTTAACTGTCTGTGGTTAAAGTCAGTTGTCTTACTGTCTGTGGTTAAAGTCAGTTGTTTTACTGTCTGTGGTTAAAGTCAGTTGTCTTACTGTCTGTGGTTAAAGTCAGTTGTCTTACTGTCTGTGGTTAAAGTCAGTTGTCTTACTGTCTGTGGTTAAAGTCAGTTGTCTTACTGTCTGTGGTTAAAGTCAGTTGTCTTACTGTCTGTGGTTAAAGTCAGTTGTCTTACTGTCTGTGGTTAAAGTCAGTTGTTTTACTGTCTGTGGTTAAAGTCAGTTGTCTTACTGTCTGTGGTTAAAGTCAGTTGTTTTACTGTCTGTGGTTAAAGTCAGTTGTTCAGTTGTTTTACTGTCTGTGGTTAAAGTCAGTTGTCTTACTGTCTGTGGTTAAAGTCAGTTGTTTTACTGTCTGTGGTTAAAGTCAGTTGTCTTACTGTCTGTGGTTAAAGTCAGTTGTTTTACTGTCTGTGGTTAAAGTCAGTTGTCTTACTGTCTGTGGTTAAAGTCGGTTGTCTTACTGTCTGTGGTTAAAGTCAGTTGTCTTACTGTCTGTGGTTAAAGTCAGTTGTTTTACTGTCTGTGGTTAAAGTCAGTTGTTTTACTGTCTGTGGTTAAAGTCAGTTGTCTTACTGTCTTTGGTTAAAGTCAGTTGTCTTACTGTCTGTGGTTAAAGTCAGTTGTTTTACTGTCTGTGGTTAAAGTCAGTTGTCTTACTGTCTGTGGTTAAAGTCAGTTGTCTTACTGTCTGTGGTTAAAGTCAGTTGTCTTACTCTGTCTGTGGTTAAAGTCAGTTGTCTAACTCTGTCTGTGGTTAAAGTCAGTTGTCTTACTGTCTGTGGTTAAAGTCAGTTGTTTTACTGTCTGTGGTTAAAGTCAGTTGTTTTACTGTCTGTGGTTAAAGTCAGTTGTCTTACTGTCTTTGGTTAAAGTCAGTTGTCTTACTGTCTGTGGTTAAAGTCAGTTGTCTTACTGTCTGTGGTTAAAGTCAGTTGTCTTACTGTCTGTGGTTAAAGTCAGTTGTCTTACTGTCTGTGGTTAAAGTCAGTTGTCTTACTCTGTCTGTGGTTAAAGTCAGTTGTCTTACTCTGTCTGTGGTTAAAGTCAGTTGTCTTACTCTGTCTGTGGTTAAAGTCAGTTGTCTTACTGTCTGTGGTTAAAGTCAGTTGTCTTACTGTCTGTGGTTAAAGTCAGTTGTCTTACTGTCTGTGGTTAAAGTCAGTTGTCTTACTGTCTGTGGTTAAAGTCAGTTGTCTTACTGTCTGTGGTTAAAGTCAGTTGTTTTAGGGTCCGTCTCGTATCGTCCTCAGCACATTTCCAGTCTCTGCAGAGTGTGTTCGACCGCTCAGACTCAGTGAGCGTCGTTATTGATCAGAGCTGTGTGTGTTGTTGATTCTCTGCTGAAGCAAAACCCAGGACCTGAGATGAATCCAGTATGAATGGGTTGGTTTTGCTTCCCCCAGTGTAAAGTCTATTAAAAGTTTTTGTTCTCTGATTGTAATTACGCCGCAAAAATGATTAAAAGGGAAAGTTAATTAGGAGTAATTGAATGTTCGTGTTGCCTTTGTGTTGCTGGACTGCGGTCGCCCTCAGTAAGACTTCATTAAAATCTAGTGTTATGCAGATTACGCAGGTTTTAAAGCTGTAGTATGTCACTTTTTGTTATTTTATTAATACATTTAGCTTTTACCAAGAGAAGGGTCTGTCTTCTCTGACATTGTTCAAATCCAGGCTTTACTCTCTTAATGTGCTGTGATTATGATGGTTTTAAGCACTTTGGAGGTGCCCTGTGTATGAACTGTTCTATACAAATAAACATACCATACATTTGTAAAAGTGTGAAAAGACCAAAGTATGAAAACATGTGTAGTGAGCGTGGTCCTCTCTGTTTCTCGTCTGACAAAGCTGATGTCAGAGGTTAAAGGAAACTCTTTTAATTAGACAAAAAAGTAAAGAAGCGAGTGCGGCTTAATGCCCTCCTTGATTATCTTTTTCTCTTAACAAAAGAACATTCTGAGCCTTAAAAATAAGAAGACACTATTAACTTTTTACATTTTAATATATTTACAAACTGTTTGAGAAAAAACCGCTTTGGACTTTACAAAGTTGCAGATTCCTTAAGAACAGATCAGAGAAGTAAACAGGGAATGCAATAATAACAAACGCAGAAGCCATTGGTCCAAACGGGACGACCATAAGTCTCCTTTAATGTCCATAGTTACTGTCCTCAGAGTGGGAGGCAAACCCCGGCCCATGGGCCACCTTTTATACAGATGTAGAGCTGGTTTATACAGATGTAGAGCTAGTTTATACAGATGTAGAGCTGGTTTATACAGATGTAGAGCTAGTTTATACAGATGTAGAGCTAGTTTATGCAGATGTAGAGCTAGTTTATACAGATGTAGAGCTAGTTTATACAGATGTAGAGCTAGTTTATGCAGATGTAGAGCTAGTTTATGCAGATGTAGAGCTAGTTTATGCAGATGTAGAGCTAGTTTATACAGATGTAGAGCTAGTTTATACAGATGTAGAGCTAGTTTATGCAGATGTAGAGCTAGTTTATACAGATGTAGAGCTAGTTTATACAGATGTAGAGCTAGTTTATGCAGATGTAGAGCTAGTTTATACAGATGTAGAGCTAGTTTATACAGATGTAGAGCTAGTTTATACAGATGTAGAGCTAGTTTATACAGATGTAGAGCTAGTTTATACAGATGTAGAGCTAGTTTATGCAGATGTAGAGCTAGTTTATACAGATGTAGAGCTAGTTTATACAGATGTAGAGCTAGTTTATACAGATGTAGAGCTAGTTTATGCAGATGTAGAGCTAGTTTATACAGATGTAGAGCTAGTTTATACAGATGTAGAGCTAGTTTATACAGATGTAGAGCTAGTTTATACAGATGTAGAGCTAGTTTATGCAGATGTAGAGCTAGTTTATGCAGATGTAGAGCTAGTTTATGCAGATGTAGAGCTAGTTTATGCAGATGTAGAGCTAGTTTATGCAGATGTAGAGCTAGTTTATGCAGATGTAGAGCTAGTTTATGCAGATGTAGAGCTAGTTTATACAGATGTAGAGCTAGTTTATGCAGATGTAGAGCTAGTTTATGCAGATGTAGAGCTAGTTTATGCAGATGTAGAGCTAGTTTATGCAGATGTAGAGCTAGTTTATACAGATGTAGAGCTAGTTTATGCAGATGTAGAGCTAGTTTATACAGATGTAGAGCTAGTTTATACAGATGTAGAGCTAGTTTATGCAGATGTAGAGCTAGTTTATACAGATGTAGAGCTAGTTTATACAGATGTAGAGCTAGTTTATACAGATGTAGAGCTGGTTTATACAGATGTAGAGCTAGTTTATACAGATGTAGAGCTAGTTTATACAGATGTAGAGCTAGTTTATGCAGATGTAGAGCTAGTTTATACAGATGTAGAGCTAGTTTATACAGATGTAGAGCTAGTTTATACAGATGTAGAGCTAGTTTATACAGATGTAGAGCTAGTTTATACAGATGTAGAGCTAGTTTATGCAGATGTAGAGCTAGTTTATGCAGATGTAGAGCTAGTTTATACAGATGTAGAGCTAGTTTATGCAGATGTAGAGCTGGTTTATACAGATGTAGAGCTAGTTTATACAGATGTAGAGCTAGTTTATACAGATGTAGAGCTAGTTTATGCAGATGTAGAGCTATTTATACAGATGTAGAGCTAGTTTATACAGATGTAGAGCTAGTTTATGCAGATGTAGAGCTAGTTTATGCAGATGTAGAGCTAGTTTATGCAGATGTAGAGCTAGTTTATACAGATGTAGAGCTAGTTTATACAGATGTAGAGCTAGTTTATACAGATGTAGAGCTAGTTTATACAGATGTAGAGCTAGTTTATACAGATGTAGAGCTAGTTTATACAGATGTAGAGCTAGTTTATACAGATGTAGAGCTAGTTTATGCAGATGTAGAGCTAGTTTATACAGATGTAGAGCTAGTTTATACAGATGTAGAGCTGGTTTATACAGATGTAGAGCTAGTTTATACAGATGTAGAGCTAGTTTATACAGATGTAGAGCTAGTTTATGCAGATGTAGAGCTAGTTTATGCAGATGTAGAGCTAGTTTATACAGATGTAGAGCTAGTTTATGCAGATGTAGAGCTGGTTTATACAGATGTAGAGCTAGTTTATACAGATGTAGAGCTAGTTTATACAGATGTAGAGCTAGTTTATGCAGATGTAGAGCTAGTTTATGCAGATGTAGAGCTAGTTTATACAGATGTAGAGCTAGTTTATACAGATGTAGAGCTAGTTTATGCAGATGTAGAGCTAGTTTATGCAGATGTAGAGCTAGTTTATGCAGATGTAGAGCTAGTTTATACAGATGTAGAGCTAGTTTATACAGATGTAGAGCTAGTTTATACAGATGTAGAGCTAGTTTATACAGATGTAGAGCTAGTTTATACAGATGTAGAGCTAGTTTATACAGATGTAGAGCTAGTTTATACAGATGTAGAGCTAGTTTATGCAGATGTAGAGCTAGTTTATACAGATGTAGAGCTAGTTTATACAGATGTAGAGCTAGTTTATGCAGATGTAGAGCTAGTTTATACAGATGTAGAGCTAGTTTATACAGATGTAGAGCTAGTTTATACAGATGTAGAGCTAGTTTATACAGATGTAGAGCTAGTTTATGCAGATGTAGAGCTAGTTTATACAGATGTAGAGCTAGTTTATACAGATGTAGAGCTGGTTTATACAGATGTAGAGCTAGTTTATACAGATGTAGAGCTAGTTTTAGAAACTATGGAATCCCTTTGTGCTGCGAGCAGAGCTTTGGAGCCATAGTTGCCTGAAGCCTGAGAAAAGCATTAGAAAACAGGCTGATATTCCAATGTGGCCCCCCAGGAAGAAAAGTTTACCGATGTCTGCCTCTGACCCCACTGCATCAGCAAGGAACTGTCTTGGTGATCCATAAAAGCTGATTCTTAACCCCCTCTGCCCCCCTCCCACAGGGATGCTGCCGATCGTCTACAGCACGCTCCTGTGTTACCCTGTCATCCGGACTCTGGCGCTGCTGCTGTACATCCTGCTGTCCACTCACGCCATCTACTGTGCGGTCACGGCGCGCAGCTCGGTGCGGCGCCTGCGCTCCTTTGCGTGGCAGGCGCTGTTCCGCTTCTCCTTCTTCCTCCTGCGCTGGGTGGGCGTGGGCGGCGGCAGTCCCACCTCGCTGAGACACTTCGTCACCATGGACATGCTGGCGGTGCTGGGCGGAGTCATCAACATCGCTCGAATCCCTGAAAGGTTCTGTCCCGGACTCTTTGATTATTGGTGCAACAGTCATCAGATCATGCACGTGCTGGTGGTGGGTTCTATCCTCTACCTCCACTGGGGGGTCCTGGACGACCTGCTCTGGATCAACAGCTACATCTGCCCCTCGGACTGACGCAGCCTCTCAGCCCGCTGTAGAAGGACTGCTGGTTCTAAGCCCACTTTTCCCCCGTGGGGCCGGGGGCTGTGGCGGGATTAAAGGGAAACTTCTGCATGTGATTATTCTCTGAATGTCCGTATCGATAACTCTGCTTCTGTGGCTACAGGTGCTAGGTGCAAACAGACGCAAAGAAGCAGCAGCAAAAAATACAGTCTTGAGGGAAGTTTTCAATAATTCATGGCTTCTAGGCCTTGTCCAAACATAGACGTTTTTCAGGTGTAAACAGGGAATGCATGTGTGGTAAAAGGAGCAGTTCGGAGCCCGCTGGGTCGGAACGCCTCCAAATGACAAACAGGCATTTTTGGTCAATATTCCACACTTGAAAACTGTTCCAGGAAATTGATTTGGTGAAAGAAAAGGTTCATTGGGCATCAAAGCCGCTGTTATTTATTATTTATTTCTGTATTTATTTATCTTCACATTTCAGATCTATAAAAAGTGCCCTAAGAGATGTGAACCCAGCTCTGTTCAGGGCTGTATTCAGATCATGTTTTTAACTATATTATTTATGTATTTATTTCTGACCTGTTGGACCTATGTAGTCACAAACAGTACTTCACACGTTAGCTACAAATGCTACAAACGTCTTTGAACTTAAAGATGTAACTGTTTTGACTGGGGGTAATAGGTTCCACTACTGATTTTAAATGGTAGAAACATCAGAAATTCAGTAAAAGAAAAATAGAAAATATAAATTCCAACCAGTGTCCGACCTGGGCTGGACACTGACGAACAATGCCAAAAGCTGCATTGTGATTTTGTATAAATAGTTTATTATATAAGGTTAAAAACGGATATGAACTAATTCATTTGACATGAATTCAACAGTTAAACATTTTAGCCACATTTCTAACATTATGACCCAAAAAACACCCTACACTCAAACTGCAACACACTTGAAATGAAAACTCAATACACAATACAAGAGCTAGTCACAAATCATGGTTACACAAAACAAACATATTTTAACTACATTTTAATCATTTTGAATTTGAATTGGTTTAAAAAGTGTATTGTTTAAGAATGGGTCCAGTCCTGGTTAAAACTGCTTATTTTCTGACATCGCCTGATAATGTGTGTGTCTGTGTGAGTGTGTGTGTGTGTGAGTGTCTGTGTGTGTCTGTGTGAGGGTGTATGTCTGTGTGAGTGTGTGTGTGTGTCTGTGAGTGTGTGTGTGTCTGTGAGTGTATGTGTATCTGTGAGTGTATGTGTGTGTCTGTGAGTGTGTGTGTCTGCGTGTGTGTCTGCGTGTGTGTGTGTGTGTGTGTGTGTCTGTGAGTGTGTGTGTGTCTGTGAGTGTGTGTTTCTGTGAGTGTGTGTGTGAGTGTGTCTGTGTGAGTGTGTGTGTCTGTGAGTGTGTGTGTGTGTCTGTGAGTGTGTGTGTGTGTCTGTGAGTGTGTGTGTGTGTGTGTCTGTGAGTGTATGTGAGTGTGTGTGTCTGTGTGTGTGTCTGTGAGTGTGTGTGTCTGTGTGAGTGTGTGTGTGTGTCTGTGAGTGTGTCTGTGTGAGTGTGAGTGTCTGAGTGTATGTGTGAGGGTGTGTGTATGTGTGTGTCTGTGTGAGTGTCTGTGTGAGTGTGAGTGTCTGTGAGTGTGTGTGAGGGTGTGTCTGTGTGAGTGTGTGTGTGTCTGTGAGTGTATGTGAGTGTGTGTGTCTGTGAGTGTGTGTGTGTGTCTGTGAGTGTGTCTGTGTGAGTGTGAGTGTCTGAGTGTATGTGTGAGGGTGTGTGTATGTGTGTGTCTGTGTGAGGGTGTGTGTCTGTGTGAGTGTGTGTGTGTGGTTGTGTGAGTGTGTGTGTGTCTGTGTGTGTGTAAGTGTAAGTGTCTGTGTAAGTGTCTATGTGTGTGTCTCTGTGAGTGTGTGTGTCTCGGGAAGCTTAAGGGTCCATTCCTGTGTTTTGAAAAATATATATTTATTTGTTCCTAATATTTGCATAATTGTTCTGGAAGGACAAACGGAGACAGAAACAACTCTGAGGTGGATGTGAGATAATATTATAGTATTTATAATAAACATAATATTATAATATTATAGTATAATATTTAACACTAGAACTCCCAGAGCAGTCAATTTGACGGGTTTTAGTTTTGTGTGATTTACAGCGTATGGACTTTCTTCATAACTTCCCGTCTGAATATTCTGTAGTTTATTTTTGAAACGTGGGAAGACATTTTCTATGGAGTCTTTGGGGTTAAAGCACTTTTTATGGCCCTGGTCTTGGACTGGTCCTGGTCCTTGTCCTGGTCTAGGACTGGTCCTTGTCCTGGTCCTGGACTGGTCCTGGTTTTCCATCAGAGAAGACTGGTTTCCATAGCAACACACTGTTGAAAATGGTTTTTGCTGTTTTAAAAAAAATTTTAACCAGTTTTAGCACTTATTAAAATTGAGTAAAGGTAACATCGAAAATACAAACCTTTTCTCACCACTTTTATTAAAAGTAACTTCTGTAAATTCTGATGATTTGATGAACTGAGGTCTCAGTTTCATGAGTGTCAGAGTCCAAGAGTTTGAAGAAACTTATAACAAACATAGAAAGTGAAATGACAGTTACAGCTGTGACAGCAAATACTGCACTTACAAGCAGCCATCGCTAACAGGCTATTGCTAACAGGCTATTGCTAACAGGCTATTGCTAACAGGCTATCGCTAACAGGCTATCGCTAACAGGCTATTGCTAACAGGCTATCGCTAACAGGCTATCGCTAACAGGCTGTCGCCAACAGGCTGTCGCCAACAGGCTGTCGCCAACAGGCTATCGCTAACAGGCTATCGCTAACAGGCTGTCGCCAACAGGCTGTCGCCAACAGGCTGTCGCCAACAGGCTGTCGCCAACAGGCTATCGCTAACAGGCTATCGCTAACAGGCTATTGCTAACAGGCTATTGCTAACAGGCTATTGCTAACAGGCTATCGCTAACAGGCTATCGCTAACAGGCTATTGCTAACAGGCTATTGCTAACAGGCTATCGCTAACAGGCTATTGCTAACAGGCTATTGCTAACAGGCTATTGCTAACAGGCTATTGCTAACAGGCTATCGCTAACAGGCTATCGCTAACAGGCTGTTGCTAACAGGCTGTTGCTAACAGGCTGTTGCTAACAGGCTATTGCTAACAGGCTATTGCTAACAGGCTGTCGCCAACAGGCTGTCGCCAACAGGCTGTCGCCAACAGGCTGTCGCCAACAGGCTATCGCTAACAGGCTATTGCTAACAGGCTATTGCTAACAGGCTATTGCTAACAGGCTATTGCTAACAGGCTATCGCTAACAGGCTATCGCTAACAGGCTGTTGCTAACCGGCTGTTGCTAACAGGCTGTTGCTAACAGGCTATTGCTAACAGGCTATTGCTAACAGGCTGTTGCTAACAGGCTGTTGCTAACAGGCTATTGCTAACAGGCTATCGCTAACAGGCTATTGCTAACAGGCTGTTGCTAACAGGCTATTGCTAACAGGCTATCGCTAACAGGCTATTGCTAACAGGCTATTGCTAACAGGCTATTGCTAACAGGCTATTGCTAACAGGCTATCGCTAACAGGCTATCGCTAACAGGCTGTTGCTAACCGGCTGTTGCTAACAGGCTATTGCTAACAGGCTGTTGCTAACAGGCTATTGCTAACAGACTGTTGCTAACAGGCTGTTGCTAACAGGCTATCGCTAACAGGCTGTTGCTAACAGGCTGTTGCTAACAGGCTATTGCTAACAGGCTGTTGCTAACAGGCTGTTGCTAACAGGCTGTTGCTAACAGGCTGTTGCTAACAGACTGTTGCTAACAGGCTGTTGCTAACAGGCTGTTGCTAACAGGCTGTTGCTAACAGACTGTTGCTAACAGGCTGTTGCTAACAGGCTATCGCTAACAGGCTGTTGCTAACAGGCTATTGCTAACAGGCTGTTGCTAACAGGCTGTTGCTAACAGGCTGTTGCTAACAGGTTGTTGCTAACAGGCTATCGCTAACAGGCTATTGCTAACAGGCTATTGCTAACAGGCTATTGCTAACAGGCTATTGCTAACAGGCTATTGCTAACAGGCTATCGCTAACAGGCTATTGCTAACAGGCTATCGCTAACAGGCTATTGCTAACAGGCTATTGCTAACAGGCTATTGCTAACAGGCTATCGCTAACAGGCTATTGCTAACAGGCTATCGCTAACAGGCTATTGCTAACAGGCTATCGCTAACAGGCTATTGCTAACAGGCTATTGCTAACAGGCTATTGCTAACAGGCTATTGCTAACAGGCTGTTGCTAACAGGCTATTGCTAACAGGCTATTGCTAACAGGCTGTTGCTAACAGGCTATTGCTAACAGGCTATTGCTAACAGGCTGTTGCTAACAGGCTGTTGCTAACAGGCTGTTGCTAACAGGCTGTTGCTAACAGGCTGTTGCTAACAGGCTATTGCTAACAGGCTATTGCTAACAGGCTGTTGCTAACAGGCTGTTGCTAACAGGCTGTTGCTAACCGGCTGTTGCTAACAGGCTGTTGCTAACAGGCTATTGCTAACAGGCTGTTGCTAACAGGCTGTTGCTAACAGGCTGTTGCTAACAGGTTGTTGCTAACAGGCTATTGCTAACAGGCTATCGCTAACAGGCTATTGCTAACAGGCTATTGCTAACAGGCTGTTGCTAACAGGCTGTTGCTAACAGGCTATTGCTAACAGGCTGTTGCTAACAGGCTGTTGCTAACAGGCTATTGCTAACAGGTTGTTGCTAACAGGCTATCGCTAACAGGCTATTGCTAACAGGCTATTGCTAACAGGCTATTGCTAACAGGCTGTTGCTAACAGGCTGTTGCTAACAGGCTGTTGCTAACAGGCTGTTGCTAACAGGCTGTTGCTAACAGGCTGTTGCTAACAGGCTGTTGCTAACAGACTGTCGCTAACAGGCTGTCGCTAACAGGCTATTGCTAACAGGCTGTTGCTAACAGGCTGTTGCTAACAGGCTGTTGCTAACAGGCTGTT